GGTAGTCTGTACCGCGGGGGAACAAATAGCGGTCTATTTTCTCCTTCTATTGCCTCCGGGTGCTCTGTAGAGGGCTTCGGAGACGTCAACGAATGCTCCTCTACCCAAGTCTATTTACTGGATATAGACTTGTAAAATTTTCTTCTGATGACTCGTCTTGAGAAAGACGAGTTATTTCTTACATGACTTATATGTGAGAAAGTCGAAACAAACATCAGGTTGTAGTCTTCGGTGACTTGCCTTGACAAAGGCAAGATATTCCTTACATGAACAAAAGGAGGTAGCCGAAATAATAACACCAAATATTGTTGAAATAAAATACTCAGCCACAGAGTATAGGAAAGCTAAAAAACAAGAAAAGCAGCGCCCCGAGAACACTAAGCTCTCGGAGAGCCCGTGAAGGACTGACTTGATTGACCTGAAAATCGCCTATTTTTATACTTTTCGAAGTAGCGATTTCCAGGTCAGGGAGGAGCCAACAGGAAAAATAAGGGGCGGGGCGATGCGTCTCGAACGTGAACTAGTCGCGTCCGAGAACAAGTCTACATGCACGAACTTAATATTGTATACGAATTTTATAGCTAATTCAGCGGAACAGAAGGGTCAGGTTGACGCTATCTATACAGACTTCTCAAAAGCCTTCGATACAGTTAACCATGATCTGCTTATTGCTAAATTAAATGGCTATGGATTTGGAGGTAAAATAATTGAGTGGATAGGTAGTTATATATCGGGTAGATGTCAGTATGTTAGATATGGAAATTTTTTATCTCAACGAGTATCTGTAACCTCAGGAGTTCCTCAGGGGTCGCATATTGGGCCTCTCTTATTTAATATATTTGTTAATGATATATCCTCAGTGATTAATAATAGTAAATTTCTAATGTTTGCTGATGACCTTAAAATATTTCGAATAATTAATGACCTAGTTGATGCCTCTTTATTACAGAATGACATTAAAAGCTTAGCTAGTTGGTGTGAGGTAAACATGCTATACTTAAATATACAAAAATGTTTTAAAATTACTTTTGGAAGATCAAGAGAGTTTGTAAATTATGATTATTGTATAAATAATGTACCTTTAGAGGCACGTCATAATATTAAAGATTTAGGTATAAATTTTGATTCTAAACTAACTTTTAAATATCACATTAACGAAACTTCAGCTAAAGCTTTAAAAATGTTAGGATTTATTCTTAGAAACTGTAATCAGTTTTCAGTACAAACTTTAAAAATGTTATACTTTAGTTTAGTTCGATCAGTTTGGAGTATGGTTCTCTCATTGCTCCTCATAACGTGACATCACGTATGAGAGTTCAAATAAATTCTTGAGGGTATGTGCTTACAAAATTGGTTTTATTAGACAGCAATACACATATGATGATATACTGTCAATACTAAATATCTCATCACTACATGATAGAAGATGTCAAGCGGATTTATGTTTCCTTTTTAAAATTATAAATGGATATGTTCAAGATCCAGAGTTACTAAGTTTAATAAGTTTTAATGTTAATACTAGAAGAACTCGTAACACTGAGATTTTCAACATTCCATTCCACAGTACGAATTATGGCCAAAATGAACCCATTACAAGAATTTTACGAACTGCCAATGAGCACAGCAATAGTTTAGAATTATTTGGAATATCTACAGCAACATTTAAGAAATCATTTGAGAGATTTTGAGCATTATTTAATAACTTAAGCTACTACTTTAATTGAATTTTGTTTGATTTTAATTTTGGTTTGTTTTTTATTAACGCAACCTATGTATAAGCTTTGTAAAGGTTGACGTCATATTTCTGTAAAAATGGTATATCCGTTAATTAAATAAATAAATAAATTTGGACACTTAAAAAAATCCAACATTAAAAACCTAGAAGCATTCGAAATGTGGTGTTACCGAACATTAAAGGAAACAAATACATTACCGTATTTTGAAAATATCATGGATGGATCCATTTTAAATTTCATAAAAATCAGGAAATTGAAATACTTGGGGCACATCATGAGAGGTGAAAAGTACGAACTACTAAGGAATATAATGCAGGGTAAAATCAAAGGTAGAAGAAGCGTAGGAAGACGTAAAATCTCGTGGCTACGCAATCTCCGTCAATGTTTTGGATGCAGTTCAATTGAACTATTCAGGCGCGTAACCAACAAAATTATAATTGCCAGAATGATTTCCAATCTGCGATAGGAGTGGAACTTGAAGAAGAAGAAGAGTTTGTCAGATAAAATGTCCCTGAACAACACTGGTTCCGTTTAAAACATGACTGATTCCGTCTGCGCGAACGAGATGCGATAATCAATCTAGAAAGGTATTCCCGACAAAACTAATTTGAATGGAGAATGATGCATTTGTTGTCATTAAACTACCCGTCCGACGGCGCCCTGAGTAAAGATGGTCTGACGTAAGCAGAGTAGAAAAGTAAGTGATACGCCTGTTTCAAATCGCAGTGTGGTTTAACTGCTAAAACAGCCTTAAGCTATGGTTTGTTAGAACAGCGAGCGACGCATAACTCACAGTCAGTCGAACGCCGCGCACGTTTGTCAAAATCAAAGAAATGGTTCTCTATGATAACGGTTTGTTAGGTTTTCCTTCTTCTCTTTAAAGATGTAAAAAAAGGTTCTGCAGAGCTACGCGCACTGCAGACCGATAGCTGTTTACGTCGAAGGTGTGCGCTGGAATCAACTGCAATTTGATTTGGATGCAAACGTTCAGCTGAGCTGACAGCGTATACATCTCTACCGAAATTATAATTGAATTTTTATATAGTTTATTAATATTGTAGTAATTAAGTGATGTCTACTAAATTTAAAAACACCCTCTGTATTAAGACATGAAAAAATTTCGTTTACATTTTTATTTCTTTTATTTAAATTTAACGTTATCACCTCTTCTTCTTCCTCCTCTTCTTGGAGTAATAAAATTATTGCATTAAGTTTGCGCGAATTCATTTTTTTGAATGTACAATCTTTGAGAGAATAAACTTGAAACCAATTTCTAAACTTGTTTTCAGAGCGACAGAATGTTTATGCGAAATAATCTAACACCCAAAACTGCCGTGAGTCGAGTACAGCACATTCTGCTGTGCGCTGCGCACTGTTCTAACTTTAGTATACTAATCTAAAAGCCCTGTTTCACAACAACTGTTAACAAAGTACACTCAACCACAAAAGTTTAAACTGCACCTAACAAAAATTATGCCCATTTTTTGAGGACAAATATTTTGACAAGGATAAATGATAAATGTTTTGTTCAAAACATGGCACCAAATATTTCGAATTTGTATTTCGAGCAATCTATCGCTGTATACGATAATAAGCGTGTACGGTTGCGGCGATACAGGCGCGCGGCATATAGAAATTTTCGATTAAATGTAAAACTAAGTTTTAAGCAAGATAGAAACCAGTGGAGCACCCAAGTGACTTTTGGAGGGGGATACTTAAGGTTTAAATTATGATTTAAAACAAATCTGTAACTTTTAAGGTCTTAAAATAAGGCAAATATCATTGTTATAGTAGTGAATATTTATTAACATGGTGTTAGAAAAACTTCAATTACCTGATCTATAACTGTAAATTTGTGCTGTAAAGATCGCTATATTTCCGAAACATACAATAATGTCCTTATTATAAATATTTGAGTTCATTTTATTCATCAATATGAATAAAACTCGAATCAAATCCTTGCTGTGCAAATTACGAATTGCATTTTTTACACAAAGTTCAAATCCTTTTCTAAGATAAATGTAATTGAAAGTATCGTGTGGCTTGGGTTGAATGCTGCTCTCGATTACAGTTAAAATCTTGGCAATAAGGTACATAGTCATATTTTTCCATTTTATGTTTTTCATTATTTCGCATAACACTTTGGTAAGATACTTGGCTTCTTCGGCATTTTCTATGGTTGCAATTTCGATTGTGTATAAAATGTCATCCAAATCTGAAAAAAATAAAAAAAATTATTAACAGAAATACCCTAATTCAGTTTTTTTAATAGCGTCAACCCCTAGGGCAAATGCAGACTCGGATCACTACCTAGTGGAAAGTAGAATAAGAGCCAGAATTTCAAACATTAAAAAAGAAAAGGATCCAAAATTAAAAAACGTGAAATAAAAAACTTGGCAGACATCTGCAAAACGGCAAAATACAAATAATATATAAAAGGAAGGCTAGAAAACAGATAAAAGCACGAAGATATAAACAGAGAATGGGAAGCGTGTAAAAACATCATACAAGACGTGGCCAAAAAGACCCTAGGTCTACAAATCAACTGAAGGACAGTGGTTCGATGAAGAGTGTCGTAACTAACAGAGAGGAAAAATAATGCATATCAACGACTACAACAACGACATAGAACACGAAAGGCAGAGGAGGAATATAGAATGCTAAGGAGAGAAGAGAAGAAAATACATCGCAAAAAGAAACGAGAACACATAGAAAAGAAGCTCCAAGAAATGGAAGAACTAAATAAAATATCAGAAACCAGATAATTCTACCAAAAACTTTTAAACCAAGAACATGATGTGCAGAGACAAAGAAGAAGATATAGTAACTCAACAGAGTAAAATACTACAAAGATGGGCAGAATTCTTTAAAGAAATGTTTGAAAAAAACGAAGATCCACTATATGATGGAATTATACTGAATCAAACGTATACCAGAGAAACAATCCCTCTTCAGTAGCTGAAATGCAAGAAGCAGTTACCAGACTGAAAAACAACAAGTCACCTGGATTAGACAACATTAGCGCAGAATTAATAAAGGAAGGTGGAGACTACTTATTGAATGCCATACACGAACTAATAGTGAAGGTATGTAATAATAAACAACTGCCACAAGACTGGAATACCGGAGTCATTATCCCACTACATAAAAAGGGAGATCAGAAAATCTTTGAAAAGACTAGTGAGTTTAATATAAACACACATCATCTTTTCATTGATTTTGAGAGTGTCTATGATAGCATCCATCGAGAATTTCTGATCCATGCACTTAATAAGTTTAATATTCCAACTCAACTAAGTAATATAGTAAAAGAAACACTTAAAGTACAAAGCAAAATTCGAATTCAAAACTCATTAACAGATACAATCCATGTGAGAACGGACCTACGACGGGGAGATGCCCTATCCTGTATTCTATTCAAATCACATTAGATAAAATAATTAGAGAGTCAAAAGTCAACACTCGAGGAACAATAATAACAAAAAGTATACAAACATTGGCATTTGTAGATGATGTTGATATCATAGCTAGAAGCGAAAAAGAGATGATAGAGGCATTTAATGCGATAGAAAGAGCGGCACAAAACAGTGGTCTAAACATGAACGAAATAAAAACCAAATACATGAAGGCCAATAAATCGACAGGCCAAAGAAACCTACAGAATCTGACAATAGGAGACTATAACATCGAAAGCGTGAAAAATTTGGTTCACTAGTTACCGCAGATAACAATTTCAGTGAAGTGGTTAAGAGAAGAATACATATCGCTAATAAATCATATAATGGACTAATTAAACATCTTAGATCTAACAACATCACAAGAAAAACCAAATGTAAAATATACAAGACTCTGATAAAACTGGTCCTTGTATATGGATCAGAGACATAGACACTGTCGAAAAGTGATGAGAACCTATTAGGTATGTTTGAACGAAAAAATCCTTAGACATATATATATATATATATATATATATATTATAATATATATATATATATATATATATATAAAGGAAAAGAAGTATTTGCCGACAACGTTAGAAAACGGAGCTTTCAGGTTTATTGGGATTTTCAGCGGTGAAATAAGTGTACTCTTTTAACTAAGTTTCAAGATTTCGAAAATGTTTATTTTCATCATCAGGAAAAACTGAAAATAAAGTGCTGCTGTTAGTAAAGCATCCTCGAAATCTATTAGTGAAAAGGTAGTACAAAGAGAAAAAAACGAAAAAAACACTTACGTTATTGAGGTTTGTCTTTCGTGGATGTTCTAGTTACAGGTGACAAATTCACGCACCACTCATTGTTTGAGTCAATAATTAAATATATAAAAATTGCATGGTGTAAAAGACCAAACTTGACAAATTATTCTACTTTAAACACATAAGAAAAGACAATTATTACAAAGTTAAAAATGGCCACGTGTGCCGGCCAACTGTAAAATGTTAGGTTAAGAGTAACTGTCATTCATGGACATGGCAAATGACAGTACTTCTTCTTATTTCTTTGTCTTATCTAGTACTACTACTATTACACATCAAAATTTAACAAAATTTGTTTTTAAGTTGAAACCAAAATTGTAAAATGAAAACTATGACAAATAACGAAACCTGGAAACTTTACAATGAATCAGTTGTTGAAACATCATTGAATTGTGAATGTATATCCAAATATAATAGGTAGGAGTAAATAGTGCTTAAGTGATTAATGTCACTCCTTTTGTTCATTGCGTTTGAATCTTGAGCAATGCATGCCATTTCTAAGAAAAGTATTTTTTTGTAATTGTATCAGTAGCTAAAATTTTCACTAATTCATAATTCATTATATGATGTTCTTTATTAACATGTTCTGCAAGGGCAGATCTTTCTGGATATAGTCTGCTGTCGCTACGATGACTGATTAAGCGACTACCTAGGTTGCGTGTGGTTTGTCCCACATATACCAAATTACAGTTGTTGCAAGGGATCTGGTAAACTACGTTGGAACAATCTTTGGTCTGTAGTTACTAATCCAGATGCACTGGCCTTTTTTTTGGCTACTCTCATGAAATTTTCTTAATTGTATTTAAGAAGAACATTTAGCAAACTAGTTCCTCTTTTGATTTTCAGATTTGTTCTTTCTTGATCCTCCAGATCTCTGACGTTGCCCATTGACTGGCTTAATTCTTATACAAGACAATACGAACAGCAGTTTTGAGTCCTAGTTTCTTTCAGCATTCCAATATTCAAAGTATATTTTTAATCTGTCTTCTTCTGTAAACATCTGGTTACATTTAAGGCGACACTTATCATAACAAGGGATTTTATTCATATTTTTTAAAAAACATATTTTATATTGTTAACATATTCCTTCCCAGTAACTCTATTCTTCTTCCTTACATTTTTTTTTCATTTTTCTTCATGTCTTACTCGCTTTTTGTCTTTTTCTTGACTCGAGACTACGTTTGTATTGTCTTCTGTATCGTAGTCACTATAAGGTATGGTCACGTATACTATATATACGCCACAGTGCTGTAGGTCCAGCTTGGACTTACGTTTTACAGGTTTCAAGCAAAACCTCAGAGCCATAATGTAGTAAGTGAAGTTACGTTTTTCTGGCTCTGATATAGGTAAGGACTTACGCTCTTATAACCTTGGATAATTTAAAAAGTATAATTTTTAAAGGAGTTAACGTTATTATGGCTCGATGTAGAATTAAATTTTACACACAAAACATCAAAAACCCGAAAATCACAGTTTTTGGACTTATGTTCGTCTGACTGTGAGGTACATATATATACATACATATATATATATATATATATATATATATATATATATATATATATATATTACAGGATCCAACTTATAAATACAATACATTTTTGAGACGGCTATCGCCGTATTCCCGTTCTCCTCTGCCAATCCTCCCGGTCCAAGGCATGCTCCTTCTCTAAACCACTCGATTCCATCGCTCTTCTAATTCCTTCATTCCATGAGCGTCGAGGTCTACCTCTTTTTCTTCTTCCAGGGGGCTTCCATCTGTGAAGTTTTTGGGGCTAACGTTCGTCAGGCATTCTTAATAGGTATCCAAACCATTTTAAACCTCTTCTTTCTATTCTGTCAATGACCGTTTCTGTAGCATTCATGTTGTTTCTTATCGATTCGTTGCTCTTTCTTTCCAGCCTTGATGTTCTGGTACTTCTTCTCAAATAATCCATTTCAACTGCCAACAATCTTCTCTTCAGGTTTGCATTAATTGTCCATACTTCAGAGCCATAACAAAGAACTGATTCAACCATGGTTTGCCCTATTCTTTTTTTGTTTCTTTTGGAAATGTTGCGATCTCACCGTAATGAGTTCAGACATCCTACAATTTTACGTCACTGATTAATTGGGTGTTTAATTTCGGTTTCTCCCAAGCCTTTCTTATCAATGAGTGCACCTAAATATTTAGAAATTTTTCCACACGTTTGATTTCCACGTTCTCCTCTATCATAGTATATATTTATATTGAAATGTAGGATTAAAGTATATAGGAAAAAATGGACTTAATCTCAGGTAAAATGTAGTGGTGGTATTAAAAGAATAGCATTGTTGGAGGAAATTATAGAAATGTTACAGTAAAGATTTCTTAAAAGATTTCTACAACTACATTATTTATTAAAGTCCTTCTACCTTCTCTCATGTAAACATGATTTTCCAAAATTTCGACGATCAGGACTGTGCAACCAAACTCTATTTCCCAAAGTTTTCCCTCTCTGTAGAAAGTCACAATGGCATTCACAGCAATGCGATACATATCTTTATCAATAATTTTTATTAATCTTCGATATACTTTTAAACAATGTTCTGACTTTTTTCTTCTTGACCACGATATCACACCTGTCTCAGACGTTTTTAGTCGCAACTAAAAAAAGGTATTAAATCATTTATAACCAATCATTAGCACAATTTAATATATTTGTAGAATTTTCATCAAGCAACACAGAAGATAAATCATTCACTCAATAATTCGTTTTTCATTATCAGTCATAAGAAATCCATCTAAACAGGTGGACTAATCCAGAAGGACACAGGTAACTTAAGGTATTTTAACATCTGTATATGGTTTTCATAATTAATAAGGTTGATACAGTTTATGACCTCACCTGAAAATGGTGTATACAACTCATAATGCACCAAATTAAATGTATGACATGTGATATCATTATGTGCTCAGGATTTACTCTTGATATAATGTCTTCTAAAATATCCAGTCCTAAAGAACGACGCAAGTGAAGTTCATGCAGGTCTCTTACACCTTTTAAACAGCACTTGTATAACCTAAAAATGCATTATAAATTGATTTTTTAAATATTGTTTGACAAAAATACTTCCTAAATGTCTTCTGAGATATATACTACTACATATGTAAACCTTACTACAGAAAACGTTTTCGAAAGATGTTTTTCTGATCTATGAAATAATCATCGACATCAAAGTCAGCTGACTGCTGAAATGTATTCAACACGTTGCGATGGGGACATGTCATGAACTCTTTCTTCTCGAATACCTCTTGAAGAGAGGAATGTGGTCGCTGATTATCTTTCCGAGAAGATAGTGGCAGAGAATGGAGTAATAATTGACGTTGCAGTTGCGTCTTATAGTTCTAGGTTCGATGCAATTGAATCTCGCATATGACAGAGTCTTAAACCTCAAATACCGGGAGAGTGTTACCTCCTCCGCATTCGTGAATGACCTTTCTGTGACGAGTAACTCTAAAAATATTTACTTTCAACACGTTGCAAAATACCTTATACTTGGAAAAATCAGAATGACGACACGCATTGTTACATATGTTTATTGTTTTTATTGTTACATATGTAACAATAAAAACAATAAAAATAAAAAAGAAGAATACACCACAAAGATAAAAGTCGAGAGTCTGCAGAACGAATCAACAAAACTTCTATACCAAAAGAGAGTCAAAGATAAACTCGACAACGTGCACATCGTAGAAAGTGATGGAATCGAAGAAAGCTGGGCGAAAATTAAAGCAAGCATTCTAGATTCAGCAAAAGAAGCTATAGGAGGAAGGAAAATTCTTAAAAATAAATATTTCCAAAAGCGGAAAACTCCGTGGTTCTGCGCAGAAGTGAAAGAAAAATGCAAAGAAAAAAAGAAAGCTTACTTAAGATACATGTCTAACAAAACACCACAAGAATACAACAATTACAAAAAGATAAGAAACGAAACAATAGCACTAGTAAGAAAAATTAAAAGCGAACACTGGGAATGCTTCTCAAAGGAAATGGAACACAACTTTTACGGTCTACAAAAGGAAATATGGTGTTTCATAAGAGGCCAAAGATCAGAGATGAAAGACTTAATCGAACCGAAACACATAGATAACGACACATGGATTGAATACCTAAAGAAGCTTTATAATGATGAACAGCAAATGATGTTAGAACCAGAAACACCAGAAATCATTACAAACGAGGAAGTCGAGATAACCGTACAAGAAGTAAAACAAACTTTAGAAAAACTGAAGAACATAAAAGCTGCAGGTAAAGATGGAATTCCAAATGAATTATTGAAATATGGTGGAGAAGCAATAACTTAACAGCTAACACTTTGAAGCTTACAAAAAAAATATTGCAAGGCCAAATAAATCAGAGAATTACCTTAGCGGATGAACAGCAGGGTTTTCGCACGGGAAGATCGTGCACAGATGCAGTATTCATCATAAAACAGATTACCGAGAAAGCACTAGAGTATAACATACCAGCATTCATATGTCTAATAGACCTGAAGAAAGCGTTCGATCAAGTAAAGCTTAAAGATGTAGTTCACCTTCTTTACGATAGAGAAATTCCACTAAATGTTTTAAAAACAATAGAGAACATTTACCAGAACAACAATATGGAAGTCAGAATAGATGACCAGCTTACAGATCCAATAGATATGGGCAATGGAATAAGACAAGGAGACTCGCTTAGTCCAACGCTATTCAATCTAATCGTTGATGAAATCATCAATACTATTAATAAAGGAAGAGGATACAAAATGGGGAACAAAGAAATCAGAATACTCTGCTATGCAGATGATGCGGCCCTAATTGCATCCAATGAAGACGATCTACAAAGAACCAATTAGATGTAAACTGGAAATCGACGGTATCAGCATTGAGCAAGTAATGGAGACAAATTACCTAGGAATTACACTGTCTAGCTACGGATATGTGGAGAAGGAAGTGAAAAATCAAGTACAAAAGGCTAATAAAATAGCAGGTTGTCTTAATAACACGATATGGCGCAATCCCCACATTAATACCGACGTGAAATCAAGAATCTGCAAAGCAACAATAAGACCAATAATGACATACACTTCAGAGACAAGACCGGATACCTCCAAAACTCAGCAACTACTAGAAACAGCGGAGATGCGTTTACTGAGGAGAATTACAGGAAACACACTAAGGGATCGAATGAGGAGTGAAGAGATCAGAATAAAATGCAATATACCAGAAATAAATGAGTGGACACTGAACAAAAAAAGGAATAGAACGAACACATAAACAGAATGGAAGAGACTCGATTAGTCAGAATAGCGAGGGACAAATCACCAAAAGGTAGAAGAAGTATCGGGCGACCACGCAAAAGATGGAGTGATAACCTCCAATACAGGCATTAATCGACATTGAACAAGCATTTTGCTTATAAAAAAGAAGAAGAAGAAGAAGAAGAAGAACACGTTGCAGTGGGGACACGTCATGACTCTTTGGAAGAGACGTACTGTCCGGGATACCTCCTGAAGAGAGAAATGTGGCCCCCGATTATCTCTCCGAGACGAAGATAGTGTTGGACAATGAAGTAATAGTTCACGTTACTGCTGCGTCCCATAGTCCTAGGTCCGATGCTGTTAAATCTGGCACATAACAGGTTCTTTCACCACAAATACGGGGTGAGTATTACCTTCTCGAGCTCGTAAAGAGCATTCGGGAATGCTCTTTTCTAGTAGCAACGCAAGATAGGCGGAACTTCTGCTGCGGACAATGCGTACATTTGTTTTTCTGAGGCATAAATTAACAGGCATGGTACTGTTCTTATGGCAGATAAGACGGAGGCTGTAGTATTCATAGGCTACAGAATGACTAAGGGAATTGAGTTTGAGAATGCAGCAGCAACCAATTGGACCAATTTAGTTCCAAGTGATGTTATGAGGGTAGATGGGAACGAAGTACATCAGGTCTTTAGCTATATCTGTTTAGGGCATGAAATTAGAATAGGAAAAGACAATCAAACTTGTGAGATCCAGCGTCGCATAGGCTTGGGATGGGCAGCATTTGGCAAGATGCGAGATATTCTAAAAGGAACGCTATTGATTTGCTTGAAAAAAAGGTTTACAACCAATGCATACTGCCAGTAATAACATATGGTTCCGAAACAATAACTTTAACCAAACATTCTGCAAATAAATTGAGAGTAACCCAAAGAAAAATGGAAAGAGCAATGTTGGGAATAACTAGAAGAGATATGGTACCAAATAGGATAGTGAGAGAGAGGACTAAAGTGACAGATGTCATAGAAAAAATTGCACAAGCCAAATGGAGATGGGCTGGACATATAGCACGTTTAAATGATAATAGGTGGACCAAAAGATACGAGGACCAAATGTGGAGAAATATTTATCGTCATCTTTTCAGAAAAGAACGAATGGGAGTGGAATAAAATGAATCTTATATTAGCAGATCGATGCTGGTATACAGATGGTTCTAAAAGCGATGAAGGATTAATAAATAAAGCTCGATTATACGAAAAAAAACTAAGACTAAGCCCTAATGAAAGCATTGGCAATCCCTCTACTATCTTCCAAGCAAAAATTTGTACTATGCAGACTGTGCTAAAAAGATGGGCCGACTGGAAGACTGGTTAAGCGCCCACTCATTTTGAACCAAACACAACCAAAAACATTGAAACATAATACCCACCTATCTAGTTGTTTATGAAATTCACGGCGAGTCATCGGTTCACGAATACCAAAAAATTGTTTACATCTTCTAGAAATAGGTATACTTTCTTTTAAATCACGAAATTTGGCATCTGAAACTCGAACATTAATAATATTATCTACAGTGTCTGCATTGTTTTCTTCCACAAAGTCCGAAATAGTTGCTTCTGTCTTTCTACGTCCGCGTGGAGACATGGAAAATCGCTTGATTTCAGCCGAGAGATTATCAGTGCTTAATCTGAGCATTGCAAACTTGAAGAACTGTTAAGTATTTTTAAGGATTCATAATTAATAGGAAAGGGTGTCATTACTTAGCAATATTTGTCTATATTTGTCATAATACGGAACGATAACGAAAAAAGAAGAAGAAAACGATTAAGTGTAATGCGGCTTTCATCCACAAAAATATTTAGGTCTAGGTTTAGCTATTATTTTACATTGAATTAAACTACAGTTGGTCGTAATGAGAATTATAACTGAAATTATAATAACCTGAGCAACTCTGTGGAAGATTGTGGTAACCAAACCCAGTGGGAAGAAGAGTCAGGGCAAACGAGAGCGAGAGAAATGGTCCTTTAAAGATTAGGGGGTTGGGCAAAAGGTTAACAACCTCTTCCCTTAAAAAAATTATTGTTATGAAAGCACAAAGAAGAAAATCACAGATTCCGAAACGCAATACAATCGGTGAAAGCGTACCCAGGTGCAGACGTGATAGACTTCACATAAAAAGATACAAAAAAGCTACAAAACTGATAAAGTGATTAAAATTGGAAGACGTTAAAGAGAAACTGAAACAAGAAATTAATGCAAACCTAGAATCCACGCCGGAATCAATTGATGGTGATATAGAACAACAGTGGCTATTCTTCAAAAATGCGATTATCAAACCAAGTCGCAGAGAACTCACAACAACTAGATGCAAAAAAGGAGATTGGATGACTGAACAAATCTTGGAAATGATGGAGGACAAAAGAAGGCAAAGAATATCAGCATAACTCAACCTTTGTCAAAATTTTAAATTTCATGTTTGATTTACTTAATTAGAGTGGTTATGCTTTTAGGATAGCACTGATGATGTAATATTAATTCCGAAAACATTCTGTGATGTAGCCCGATAGAGTTTTTAATATTATGACTTTTATAAAGGAATTTTTAAATAAATGTTTTATTACTTTTCCGATGCCAAATAACATTGACAGCTATTGATTCTCATTTTATCCAACACAGGATTGTACAAATAAATAAATAAAACTACACATATGTCATGCAAACTATGTTTATTTAAATACATTAAATTAATTAAATATTAAAAACAGATTAATTAAATAGAATACTTAACTATATATTATGTATAATGCCTAAATTTAAATTACCCAAATTTTTAACATGTTAAAAAGAATACTTTTGACAATAAAAAAACAAAAATTTCATAAAATAGTATTATGCTCTTCACTTTTTTTAGTGCATACATTTAATCTGTTAGAATTTTTCATGGCTCTTACCCTACGGCACACAGCCAGGTTTAAACAGTGAATGTTCATTTTTACTTTAAAGACAGTGACACATGACTTGTTGTATGGTCAGGGGCGCACCCAGGGGGGTTGGGAATTAAACCCCCCACAAGCCACTATTCTGACATTGTTACTCACAAATTTTAAAGACTTAAAATGGTGGAGGTAGCATAAAAAAATTTCGGTGCCCAACCAAAATCCCCCCAGAGGAAAAGTCTAGGTGCGCCATTGGGTATGGTGTATATAATTTGACATATATCTAAATTAAATCAAGTTACACAAGTTTGGCTAGATATTTACTGTTACCAAAATCAGAAGAGAATAAAATTAGAGTCCTAGATAATGGAATTAAAACAAAAACATGAAGAATGTTAATGGAAGGAGTCTAGCAAATTGGAAATAGCACTAAAGATCTTAGTGAAAATTATTTTTAGCGTGAGAATAAATCTACATTTCAAATAAATCATTTCATCTACAGGAATCTTATTGAATGTGCTCCTCTTTTTGGTTTGGTTATTGAATACCACAGGTCTATTAAATACAAAAATGAAAAAATAAAAAGATCACAGTGGGCTAGACACACTTCGAATTGTGTAGTTTTATTTTGCAGATTCGTTTTTATAAAAGCTGTGTTGAAAAACCTCTTCATGTCAGGTCATTATTACCACTGAACTAACTTATATCCTAAGTATATTCTTCTTAATCATAGAAGATACTTGTTCTAAAATAAAGTAAATTAGGATTTGCGTACTTTGAAAGGTCATATAAAAAGAAAAATAACAATCCGAATATTAAATTTAGGAATAATATTGGACGGAAGAGACAGTTCAATAAAGAAACAGCTAACCTCCTACCATACAAATCAATACAGATTGCCGCCTATACCGATGACATTAGCATTATGTCTCACACAATGGAAGAGGCGGCAGGAATATATTCACAAATTAAAACATGCAAAAAAGATTAGATTGGAAATAAATATTCAAAAAAGCTAACACAGGCAAGAGCTAAGAGAAACAGACGCACAGTTGATTTAGAGGATGATATTGAAACTGTAGAAATTTTCACATATTTGGGATTTGCTGTAAGCACTGATGTAACAGAAGAACCACAAAATAAAAGAAGAATAGTAAAGGGTAAAAAAGACAAAGAAACATATGCTCCTCTCCAAAAACACACAATGGAGATAAAATTCAAGGTTTACAAAACTATTATCAAACCAATAGTATGTTATGGATGCGAAACATGGATGATGACGAAAGATATAAAAAGAAAGCTAGAAGTATTTGAAAGAAAAGTCCTAAGGAAAGAATTTGGACCTATTACCGAAAACGCAGTATGGAGAAAACCATTCACCCACTGTTCAAAGAGACACTGATCTTGGAATTCGTTAAACTTTAGAGACTTCGATCGCCTGATCATGTAGTGAGAATAGAGAGCGAAATATTGCCGAAAAGAGCCCTAGGTAATAAAATGCAGGGCGCAACATCAAAAGGAACGCCACGGAAAAGGTAAAGAGGTTGAGCTGACGTTCAAATTTTGCTAGACGTAAGAACCTGGAGAAGACCGGCGAGGAACCGAATAGCTTGTTGCCATAGATTGAAGAAGGCCAAGGCTAGATTTAGGTTGTAGGGCCATTGGCGAGAGAGATTGGAATATCTCTATATGAGGCATTGTATCTCATGTAGAGGCAATCTGGAGAAATGAATATATGAAAAGTAATGACAAAATATAGAATATATTAAACTTATACTCACGTAAGTATCGAAAATACACCACTATACAAATATGACAAAACACAGTACATTCCCCCGAGATAAAAAATCTGAAAATACCTACGGGCAAGCATCTTTTATTTTATTGGCCTCGTTTCTGTACTGCAATAATTATCCACTACTAAAGGAACCCATCAAAAGAAGAATAATATTTTATAATGTTGATTGAAAAGTCTGCTCGGAAAAGATCATAGGTCTAGTAAATACAAAAATGAGAAAATATAAATCATATTGGTCAGCTTAGTGGGCTAGACACACTTCGAAGTATGTAGTTCACTATCCACCAGCCTAGACAGAAAAATATTTGCAGTATACAATTCAAAGATTCTGCGGTTTTGAATTGTAAATTATAAGTGAAATCAAGTTGGCCGATGTATGAAGAGATAAATGCGGGAGATAAATGTCATGTCTCGATGAATACTCATTCATTGATCCCTAATAGAAGGTGTTAAGATCCTAGAATCTACTGCGAAGTAGCGACTAAGCTTTGTCAACTGATTTAGACCAAATCATAAACGGCAAATCTTCAACTAAACTCAATAAATATATCCCATAAGTGTAATAGAATCCCCTAAAATAATAATACTGATAAACTGAAAAGTTAGCAATGAAAGACACATTTACTAAAAAAATTTCTCTTAAATCTAAATATATTTTAATAAAGGCGATTCCTGACAGCTCAGTGCTGAATCGGTGTTGACATTTAAGTTTGTCTTGTTTTAATATTTAAAAAAAAAAAGGCTGAACTAAAATACTGTCAATATATACAACGAGGTAAAACATTGGCACAACATATACTTCACCCATGTCGTGCCGCTACTGCGTAGATTGTTCACTAAAGGCTCAAGTACACGAGGCGAGTTTACAAGCCACAAGCCGGCTTTGCAACAAGTAGCTCGTAAACTTGTCCAGTCTACTCGATACACTCGCTTAGCTGCTTGTAAAAACGGTGATCTACCGGCAACTTTACACGGCACCCGCCAGCTTTTGAGCAAGTAGCTTGTAAACTAGCCATGTGTACGCACAGTAGCTTGTGCGTAAGTGGCTGGTAGTATTGGTTTTAGTGTTTTTCACATGCCAGCTGGTTGCCTATTTAGCAAGTGTGAAATTTTATGTTTACTTCGATTATTAGCACAATCACCCACTTCTCAGCTTTTTACAAGCTTATTAGTTTGTAAACTCGTTATGTGTACTTGTGCCCTAAAATGGCCTGTATATGTATTATTTCGAAGATCTTCTTCTTCACGTGCCATCTACGCGACGGAGGTAGGCAATCATCATTTCATCATGACATTTCGAAGTTGGTATACATACTTTAATAAAAAATAAAGACCTTTTAAATCTAGTCAAGAAAAAGTACACAACAATACTTTAGAAAAATAATAGTGATTAATCTACACACTAACTTGATTAATTGTAACAGAAAAAGCAAGATTTTTTTACATTATAACTACAATAGCTAAAAACTTAATCATAAAGCTGTATTATCTTCTTGGTTCATTATAAATGACTATATTTGGTTGTCTACCTTCGGTTTGGATTCTGTTGCTTTCCTTTTAATCCGTACTTTGTCCCAGTCGTAGATGGAAGGATCATCTCCCATAGCTTTCTCCAAGTCTAGTAGCATCTGTGGATTCGTAAACAGTTCTGGCTCGTATTCGTATCTGTCAGCTATTTCTGACCAAGTAGGATCTACAATGTTAAATATTTCTTACATTTTTACCTGTATTGTAAAACTATAACTATCTATATAAAAGACTATGATGGCAGGTCACACCGTTTGTCCAATAAACTAACGACGTCATCTAAGCAAGAAATCTACCATTTGCTATTTCAATCATATTTTGTTCTCAAAACGATATATTTAATTAATAATACTGTATTAATTACATACTAATATAATTGTTAATTAATTTTAAGAATATTTTTAAAGTAGAATTTAATACAAAATAATTTAATA